AAAAATAATTAGGTTACAATTCTACCAATAATCATGTTAAACATCTCATCAAACACAAACATTAATATAAACATCACCTGCGACCGTTCTATCTCTCGAATAATACGATAACGAAGCATGCACACAGTAATTGGGAGAAAAATGTAAATTCAATTGATTTGGTCCGTGAAATGATCGTGTAATCCGCGAGCGTGTCGAACGAGCGAAACAACGCAGTGACAACGCTTCTAATTATAAAGCGAACTTCATGAGGCTTATCACACCGAGGCAGGTGGCCCTTGCGATGTGTTATTAATAAACATGCTCTGAACGATCGGTGAACCGCGAAGCTGTACTCGTTGCTTGGCAAAAGATCGGTTAAAAACCTTGACACCGATCGACGATGCTGAGGATAAGACGTTTTTGGGGGAAAAAAAATTGTGGATGGTCGATGTTAGAAGGGTTAGAAGTGAAAAATTTGTGGTTATTGGTGAACTTGAGGATTTGGCAGTTTACAATTTTGGGAATTTGAAGATTTGGGGGCTGTGGAGATTATGGGACTTTGGGGAATTTGGGGAATTGGAGGAATTTGGGGAATTGAAGGAATTTGGGGAATTTGGAGAATTTGAGGACTTTGGAGATTTGAGGAATTTAGGGAATTTGAGGATTTTGGAGATTTGGGGAGTTTGGAGATTTGGGGTCCTTGGAGATTTGGGGACTTTGGAGATTTGAGGAATTTGGGGAATTTGAGGACATTGGAGATTTGAGGACTTTGGAGATTTGGGGACTTTGAAGATTTGGGGTCTTTAGAGATTTGGGGACTTTGGAGATTTGGAGACTTTGGAGATTTGGAGACTTTAGAGATTTGGGGAATTTGGGGAATTTGGAGTCTTTGGAGATTTGAGGACTTTAGAGATTTGGGGAATTTGGGGAATTTGGAGTCTTTGGAGATTTGAGAACTTTGGAGATTTGGGAAATTTGGGGTCTTTGGAGCTTTGAGGGCTTTGGAGGCTTGGGGAATTTGGGGTCTTTGGAGATTTGCAGACTTTAGAGATTTGGGGACTTTAGGGATTCTGAGAACTAAGAGAGTTTAAGGAATTCAGAATTTTTAATTTTTGAGAATTTGAACTTTAGATATTCAAAAATTTTTGGTTTCGTGATTTTTGAAGTTAATAATTCGTGAATTTGAATATTTGAAAATTTTGAAACTTGGAGAATGTGAAATTTGGAATTATTAATAAACAGGTATTTGGAAGTTTACCATTTTGATAATTTAGAGACTTTGAAGGTTTGCAGACTTTGAGGATCTGAAGATATGAGGAGTTGCGAATCTCAAGAATTTAAGAAATTAAGAATAGACACACTGAAATCAATTGTACTATTCCTTATCATAGACGGTCTCCAATAGTTGGTAAATCAGTATCGATTTTCATCGACGATTTTCCGGAATCGTTAATTACGGCGTCCTTCAAAAAGAATGTCATTGCTCTCCGAGACAACTCGATACGATTCGAGGATCGTTAATCTCGTTCTTCTCGGTTTACAGCTTCGCGGAAGAAACGGATCTGAAGAAGATATTTCGTTATCGGGGCCACGGTGTCATTATCACGCGATACACCGTCACTACGAATGATTAATCGCGAGGCAAGGTCACGACAACGACCTGTCCTCCATTTTTCGACTGTTTGCCGAATTTTGTGATACAATCAAAAGAATGTATGTTTCAACCCCTACAAATTATTGTTCTTTCACAATTACTATTATTGTTCCTCAAAATGAATAATTATAAGTGAAAATATGTTTCAACCCCTAGTTCCTCAAAATGAATAATTATAAGTGAAAATATGTTTCAACCCCTAAAAATTATTGTCCTTTCACAATTACTATTATTGTTCCTCAAAATGAATAATTATAAGTGAAAATATGTTTCAACCCCTACAAATTATTATCCTTTCACAATTATAATTATTGTTCCTCAAAATGAGTAATTATAAGTGAAAATATGTTTCAACCCCTAAAAATTATTGTTCTTTCACAATTATTATTATTGTTCCTCAAAATAAGTAATTATAAGTGTATCAAGTATATCAATACTTGAACAAGTATATCAATATCAATGTAAATATATCAATAATTATAATCAAGTATAATAAAATAACAAGTGTGATGAACTACACAGTTGATTAAAAATTAGTATTAAATAAAAAGTATAATAATTTTCATTTACAGTAAATACAAATAATTTGTCCAGACTAAAATTTGAATATTAATAGCTCTTAAGGGTGGACAAATTTTTTAAACGACTAACAGTCATCTTGCTTGCTATTTGTATTTTCTGTAAAATGAATATAAAATGAAGAATATGTAACCTTGTTTGCTACTTGTATTTCCTGTAAAATGAATATAAAATTGAGTTTGTAAAATATATTTAACACAATGTACTATCACCACCCTTATATCTTCCTCTAATTCTATCGATGCCAACATCGTTTCAACATCTTAAAGACCTTCCATCTGATCATCCCTAATCATCCCTTAATTTGAGGACCACAGATCAAGATCTAAAACTTGTTATCACGTAAGAAATATGTGTCAAGATTCAAGTACAAGTACAAAGGGGTGAATCGTGCCGAAGTAGCCCCGTTCGAAGAGGATGAAGTTGTACAAAAAGAGAAAGGAGAAAGGAAGAGTGAGTGACCGACAGGAATAATTCGAAGAGATGAGACAGGGACCGGGAGAGCATGGAATCACGTGGTCGTAAATCTGTCAGAACTCTTTAAGCGTTTATGATAGCACGAATGCTTTTTTCTCTCTCGCATCTTGCGTTTCCTCTACGATCGGATCTCCCTGTCTCTCTTCGTCCCCGAGAACGGCCGATACTCTTTCTCTTGCCGTTTTTACCACGCTCGTCTCTTTCCGTTCGTCCTCGTTCAGACACGCTCTAGCTCTCCTTTCTTTCTTTCTTCTTCCTTCTTTCTTTTTATTTTTTTCTCCTCGACGGCCGCGATTGCACTTTCTCCGCCGTTTGAACCTCGACGACCCTCGCCCGGGAATATTATCGACACTGCCAAGTTCACTTCTGTTTACATTCGCCATGCTCGACGACCCCGCGACACGGCGAGAATACGCCTCGCGGTTTCTTCTCACGAGATGAGGATACTGAGTGATTGGAAACTACTGTTCTATGGAATTTTGGGAAAAAATGATGTATTAGAATGATTATAGTAAGACGGTGAGCATGTGGTAGTGCTCGACTGAGAGCTCATGGGCACATGGGGTTGTTGCGCTGAGGTGACGTTTCGAATTTTTTAATTTTTTAATTGAGGGATATAGGAAGTTGAAGATATTCAACTTGAATTTTTAACTTCCTATATTTAAAAATTTAGGAATTTGCAAATGAGAAAATTAGAAATTTAGAAATTTGCAATAAGATTTGAGAAATGTAGTGTGGAATTTTTGGAATTTTTGAATGTTGGAGATTTGAGTATTTGGAAATTTGAGAATCTAAGGATTTTTAAATTTGAGAACCTAAGAATTTGCATAATTCAGAAATCTAGAATTATGGGACTGGGAGAATTTAGAGATATAAAAATTTGGGAGTTCAAGAATTTAGAAATTTAAGAATTTTCAAGTGTTAAAAATTAAAAATTAGCTAATGAAATTTGATAAATGTGAAAAATGAAATTTTTGGGATTTTTGAAATTTGGAAATTTGAGAATCTATGGACTTGGTAATTTGAGAATCCAAAAATTTTAACAATTTAGAAATCTAAAATTATAAAACTGAGAAATCAGAGATTTTAAAGTTTGGGAACTGTCAAGTTTAGAAATGTACAATTAAAATTTATTAATAAATTAGAAATTAAAATTATTTACAACTAAAATTTGTTAATAAAGGAGAACGAAAAGAATTCGAAAACCAAACACTGTTTGCACTGTTCATATGTAGCATCCATATGTGCTCTGTACTCCAAAGCTCACAATGGAACAAAAGAAAGCATCGGAATAGATCTATTATCTTAATAGTTCATGGTGAAACATACTACCAGTGTCATCTACTCACAACTTGATAAACTGTAGCATGCACATTGCTACATCAATAAAATATCATTGGAGTTAAATTATCTACTGTGGGATAGTGGCAGAAAAATAGTACCATCCTTATTCTTATGTCATTTCCTATATGATCGACGAGGTACACTACAGTGTGTAAATTGTAGAGATGGTGCTACTTGTTCCATTATCGTGAAAATTCAATTAACATTGATTTTATTGGTTTAATTTACTATAACATGCATCAAATTCCATCGGATTGCAAGTCTAATTAGCTTTAGAATGTTTTGACTTAACCAAGCTATTATCAATTTTTAACCATTCTTAAGGTGATCCTAATTACCTTAAGGGTGTCGGTTTTATGTGTTGCCATCTAGCGGTAGAAGATGAGAACTAATTAACCTTCAGTTTCAAAAGTGCGTAGTTCACCCTGTTCGCCGGAGAGATGGCGCCACCTGTTCATAAAAATTCTCATATTGTAATTGTTTATAATATACGCTGAATTGTTTAAAAAATCCATACTAATTTGCTGCAGAACATTTCAAATATGTCCATAAGTCAATACAGTCGATAATCACAAAAAATTTTTTTCGGAATTTAGTTCGATCAATTCCCGCCTTCCACTGTTGGCTGAGCTCTTTGTGACCCACGGAATAAAACTATTTTTTCAACTTTCAACTATTTAAATTAATAAGTTTGCAATACACTATATTCTTCTATGTCTCTGGTCTAATGGAAGCTAAACTACCTCTGTACTTTTATTATGAGTGCAAATTTAAATATAAAGTTGAATAATAAAAAAAGTTAACTTACCTTCTGATGTGGTCCTCAGCATCCTTCTTGAAGCACAAAATGCATAATGAAAACTTTACATGTAAAAGTAAACTTGTACTTACAAAAGTATTATTATCTATCAATAAAATAAAAAAACTAAATAAAATAGTTGGAAATTAATTACTACTAAACACATAATATGTCTAATCATATTTATTTGCTCATGTACTGTTACTAATAGATGCTATACGCTTAAATACAGATGATGTATTGCAGAAACGAATATACCAAAACACTTAGCAATGTACACGCTATTCGAGTCACTTTTAAATAGATTATTTATCATCGATTACATCGTCCAACAAGGGGGAGGTGATGGTGTACCATTAAATATATATATATATTAATTTCATGATGTCAACGCTTGACAATTGAAAATAGTTTCGCAACAGATCGATGCCTCTACAAAAGATTGCGTTACAGAAAGTACAAAAAGGGGGTTACAAGAATGGGGAATACTTTAAGGGTGCGAATCACGGGGAGACAAAAGAAACGGTGACGGTAGATATTTCTATACAAAATTAATCGACGAAAGGCGAGAAAATAAAACGCTCTTACGTTCGATAATGATCTATGATACAAGTCGACGAGATAATACTTTTTTTTGTTTCCTTAATAAGATTAGACTGAATTGTGATCTCTTCTCGCTGACGCATTCACGCACGCATTCTCTCCCTCTCTTTCACTCACGATTTTACACGCGTGCATCTCACTACACAATGGCTACGATAATATATCATATTGTTTTCTCTGTGATGTAAAACATAATACACGCAAACGTTTGCGAACAAACAAGAATTTCCGTTAGCGGCTAATTACCATGCATCGCGTGCACAACTAACGTTTAAAATACAGAACGAATAATAAAGGAAGGGTGATTCCTTCGACCGCATGATCGATTTTCAATGAAAATCTTTGTGTGTGTTTTGTTGCGCAACCGGCTATTCATCGACGAAACGAAAACGAAACTATCTTACACAGAAATTCCTCTCTTTTTACAATGAAAACCTCTTCATCTTTGGTAGAAACTACGAAATAAATATTGTCGCTTACAATAAGAATCGGTGCTCGAATCGAAGCTTCCCTAAATGAGACACACTGACTTCCTCGAACTTACAGATCGAAAAACGAGTCGAAGTTTATTACGCATCGATGGAAGCTTTGAGACTTTTGCGAATCGACGGCCATTCTCGAATACAACGCTTTAACACGTGAACTAGAAAAATATACACGCATGTACAGGGTTCTGAAGTACGACTCGGTGCTCGAGGATGTTGGTTCCCGCCTATGTTCGACGAACGATGTTAAAAATATCATTCACATAGCGAATGAGATTCTGTCACAACTTTTAACGTAATTTACAACCAACTGAATAAACCAAAAGTATTTTGAGGATGGATATTTTTAAATTTATATCCATTGAATATTATTTCATTCGTATCAAAAACTTAGGAAACTATTTTTTCACGCTTATATTAATTTATAAGCTGTTACAATGATTTACTTCTTTTCTACAGCAATATTTAACTGTACTTTCAATTTACATTTACAAGTTACCATGTTTTTTAATTTTTCAATTCTCAATTTATTTTTAAACTTCCAAATCCCTAATTCCCATACTATCTAAGTCTTAAGAGCCCCAAGTGAATCCCCAAATTCATATAACCCCTAAACCTTAAAATTTTTCAGTTGAGCTATGATGCAAATTTTCAAACTGCATAAATTCGAGATCGTAATAAAATAAATATGCCTTGAGATTCAAAGATGTCTGATAAAATCTTACTAACCTATAAAACAGATCCCAAAATCTGTGACAGAATCTCAAACCTTACCTGCAAAGTACACTACCAGTCAAAATTTAAGAACACTGTTTTCTTATACATTGAATCATATCCTTATCACAATTAATTAACCACGAAAGGTTATTGACGTCGCTGTAGACTTCATTTTCCTTCACTTTTGAAGAGAGTGGACATCAAGTATATTAAACATAGAACATTAGAAATCGAATACTAGAAAAAATCTGTCAAAATGACATAATTCAAATTTCGCATAATTATTTTTTAGTAAAATAGAACAATTGCAAGAAGTATCCACAATACTTTCACTATATATTTATTTCTATAGAGATGAAGAAAGATAAATCCTCGATTATTCTATTACTGAACAATTTCTCAACTTTCAAAAAGATTCTGAGTATATCAGATACTTGGTACGATTTCATCATAAAATGATTAATACTCTTGGTAGCCACAGTACGAACCGTGTCTAATATAATACATACTTTTCAATGTACAAACAATTCGATATCGTCGATCTCAATATGAACACAAATTAAATAACTTAGAATTCATATAACATAACAATTATCTCTCGAACGTTGCAGCCGAGTTTTTACTTCGCTTACTTTTAGACTTTCCTAAATATCCTTCTGAGGATAGTGGTTCAAAAATTCGAACTCTTAACGAACGTGTAATTCCACGATTAACCCAGATTCGCCATTCGAGAATCAAGTGGTCTCAAACTTTTGACCGATAGCGTTATTTCTCAACACTTTGCTAAAAGTCATGGTGCAAATCGTGTGTCAAGGTACATGTATGACGCTGAAGAACGGAATAAACGATAATTATTGGAAATAGGTTCATTTCTAATGATCTTAATATATCCTCACAAGGTCAACCATTTGGTGTAACGTTTTCCTATACATTTGATTTCATTTTAATTATACGCAAATATATTTTGAAGATTTAGAATGAATTTGCGCTAATTTTAACGTTAATTTGATTTAGGTTAAGTCTGTCATTTGCAAGATGGCCGGTAAGTTTGGGTTTTATGTTGGTTAAGTAAAAGTATTTAATACTACAATGGAATATATTTGGTATATTAAATGACTTAATAAAAAAAATAATGCAATTGTTGGACAGAAGTACATGCATAAGATGTATATACAAATTGTTAATATAAACCAGTCTTAAAAAACATTGAATCTGACAGAAATTACAGCCTTAAAAATGAACACCTCAAGATTGCATGGAAACGTTTTACGGTTCTACAATTAAGTAAAATTCAAAGGTAAAGTTACTTCAAAAACTGAATTTCACAGTACTCATAAACGTATTAGCATATAAAATAAATTTGTGTATGACCTACTGTTATGACTAACGAAAGTTTTGCGTATATCTCTGAATGGTATAGGTAAAAGTTACTGAGGTTGATCTTGACAAGATATTTCAAGGTCATCCGAATGGACACCGTATTTCCAACAATCAAACGAAATAACAGACGTTCACCGATCTCGTTTCGCCGTTCAACTGGATTCGAGATCCACAAGAAGGGAAGCATCGATCCCTTCTTCAGCTCCTCTAGGACCTCGACTTTCCGTCTCGTTCGCGTTCGAACGAAGGAAAGCTGCCTAGAGAAACGTCGGTATCATCATCACGATCAAATCTAACGTGTCACACTCGAACGAGAGGTTATTTCGATCGTGAACGACTATTAACGGTACAAATAATCCTAACGCTACGTGTCACATTAAATCATCTACTTAAACCGTTTTGCCTATTCACTAAGTAGCCTCTATTTTCGCACGCCTTTCACTCGTTCTCTCTTTCGCTCGGTTTCTCTTTTTCGTATTCAACCTGGCTCGATCGAGATACAGATTGTGCTTACTGTAGAAACGGTCTACAGTCCTTGGGGCGAGGAAAGGAAGATCTAGGTTGTCGTATCTCGTCGAGGGTTCTCCGTGGAAACTCGTCCGGAACGAGATCCAGATCCCTCTCGAGAGCATCTTTTCCTGGATGCACGAGACACGTTCCAGTTTCCTCGGTTGTCCGCTTCTTAACAGGACGAGCTTTTCAGCTCTCCTATGTCCACGATGTTCTGCAGCAACGCGGCGGCCTCACTGCTCGACTGGCTCTTCGCGTTGTAGCGTTGCTTCAGGGTGCTCAATGCGGACAACAGTCTTGTGTTGGACGTCATCAGACGAGAGTTCGCGGCGTCCAACGCGGCTATTTGCTGTTCCTGCGCGTCGATCACGCGCTGCTTGTACGACAACGCAGCGGACATCTTGAGTTGTTCTCGCCGTAGCTCCTCCTCCACAGAGATTAACCTAGAATCGACCAGACACGATGTGATTCAGTCAGATTTCGCGCTGTTTCAAACCAACTTTCGAAACAATCTCTGTTCCCAATTTAAAATCAAACCTTTCAGAGGAACACAAAGACTGCTTCGACGCTTTTCAGCACACGTGGAATTCATCTCCAACCGCGAATTCTCTTCGAACCTTTATTTAGAAATCTTTTTTAGACAATGTTCGGAAGAGATTTCACGGGGAGACTCCGAGAGGATCCAAGCGCACCACGATGCATAATACCGAAGAAAAGAACACCAATCGAAATGTTTGAAAACGAAAGTCAAAAAGGAAGCAGCAGTGTCTGGTGCAAAGTATCATACGCTTTGGATGAACGAAACAAAACGAGAAATAAAGAACGATCAAATGCAATGGGCTGGGGTGGCGTTCGTTTTCGATCAATGAAGCCAGGAAGTTGCTTCTGCTGTGTCGTGTAAATGATTTTAATAATGAAAGAAACGTTCAGGATTAAATACATTCATATAGTACCTTTTCAAACAGACATACTGTTATATGTTTACTGAGAACTTTAGTTGTTAGCAACAATCGTGATGACAATTTATGGAGATAAATTTTGTGAGCCTCTGTACATAGTATCATATGTGTATGAATATCACATATAAGTATATACAGAGTATCATATGTATATGAGTAACATATATAGTATTATACATAGTATCATATGTATATGAGTAACATATATAGTATTATACATAGTATCATATGTATATGAGTATCATATATAGTATCATACATAGTATCATATGTAAAGTGTATCATATATATGTATATATCATACAATAAAATTTATAAACGTTTCATGATTTTAAGTCTCGTTTCAACTTAACACTTCACAATTCACAATTTTAAGTTTGAAGTGTTGCAATCTTAAAAACCTTGAAACTTCAAACGTTCTAAACTTGAAGGTTGATATGAAATATGTGGAGCTTGAAACGATCTGTGTTTGAAGAGTTGCGAGATTAAAGCATTTTGAGTTTGCAGAGTTTGAAGCTCCCAAGCGATCCAAATTTGAAATATTGCAAGTTTGAAGTGTCTCGAGCTTCGAGTGACACTTGAAGCGTCCTAAACTTGAAGTGTCCCAAATTTGAAGTGTTCCAAACTTAAAGTATCCTAAACTTGAAGTGTCCTAAAGTGTCCCAAATTTGAAGTGTTCCAAACTTGAAGTATCCTAAACTCGAAGTGTCCTAAAGTGTCCCAAACTTGAAATCTCCCAAACTTGAAGTATCCTAAACTCGAAGTGTCCCAAAGTGTCCCGAATCTGAAGCATCTCAAACTGGAAAGCATTAAACCACTCGAAGTCTAAAACATTTCAAACTCAAAAATAGTATTTGAAATCTGGCTCCACAAATGTTATCCCGAAATTATGTTGAATGAAATCCTGAACGTTTCTTTGAGCACCGCTGCAACACGCTACACAGACCTGACACACAAAAAAAAAACGAAATCAGTGGTTTGCAGAGTAACCCGTGCACACGTGAACAGAATGAACGTGTAATGTGAAAACTGTCGAGGGTGTTAATTATTGTCGGTGGAGTACTGATATGTGGCCGACCGAGAGAATGTTTCTTTTTTGGACGGTGATGTAAGTATACACACGCAGGGTGAATAATGCTGGTTAGTCGAGCACTGGTTCAGAATAGAGATACACAACTCGTGAGTGAAACAACAGACTCTAGTAATCGACACGCGAACGCGAATGAACGTTTTGGCGCGTGTTTATTGTCGCGCAAATCGAGAGACAGGGTGAGTCAGTCGAGGCTTTGATACATCTTCGAAATTGTCGACTATGTGGGCGAATATTTTAGACAGATGTTAAACGATGTCGAAGAAAACATAAGGTAATTATTTTTAGGTCGATTTTTTGCAAATTTTTATCAAGTTTGTTCTTTAAATGGAATGATACATTTTTAGTATATTGTTATATTTGCAATTTATAACAAATGTATTTAAAAGCGATTAGATTCCTTGATTTCAATTTTGAATATAGTAAAAATGGAAGTATGTGCTCGTAAATATTTGTGACATGTAACATTTGCATCTACGTCTTTTTCTACCAGTGGTAATGTGTCAAAAACTATACTATTTTGTGTATTAATATGTAGATCTTTAAATGATTTTGAGATGTGCGTGCTTACTAGGGAGTATACTGAAATTAAAATATCCCCTAAACTTATGGTTTTTATGTAAAAAATATTTTTTTATGAAAAATGGAAAGTATGTTCTAAAAAATGTATGATTCTATTTAAGATGACAAATCTTCGTATGATCACACACGATTGTCCTTCGATATCATCTGACTTTTGTTTAAAATACTTTTTAATATAATTGACAGTTTGGAAGATATTTCAGGTTAAAATCTGAAATGACTTACCCTGTATATTTGTATACAGGGTGTCCTGCAATGTATAGTATAAGCAGAAATGTGGTAATTTTACATTGGACAATAAATCAAAAATATAGAACAAATTTTTTTTATAAAAGTTTTATTATCAAATATACCGAGTTCAAAAATTCGAAATATTCTTCTATAATTTAAACAATTTTTACGTTTCCATTAATTCAACATTTAATAAAAAGTATAAATCAGTAAATGTTTTTAAGCTAAAATATATTTGAAAAATTTCTAAGTCCAATTTTCCTAATAACTATTTTATATTTTTGACTAATTCTCCTATGCAAAATTATTTTCCCAGACCTGCATCCCTCTGAAGCGATTAAAAACATGTACTTAAAAAAATCAATTTTGAAAATAATTTCCTCGTACATAAATTAATAAAATGAAATATCTACTCATGCAATAAATTGTCAAGATTAAACATTATCTCTTTTGCTAAATTAGAAATAAAGAAATAGAATCGTTATTCGAAATAAAATATTTATTATTTCAATGATATTTATATTTTACATATTTTTAAACAATTTCCGGAATAATTTTCAAACAAAATCCGCCCAGGTCTGCGTGTTACTACCTGTACTACGTACTGCAGGACACCTTGTATGTATGTAAAAAGAGAAATATACATATGAGATTAAAAAACGCTAAGATACGTGATGTAAAAATGTAAAGAAGCTTAGAAATATAATTGACTCTTACACCAAGGTCCAGATCAAGCCAGAGTATACCAAATGCAGCGGATAGAATGCACAGGAACACACAATCAATTAAACATACATTATTTCGAGAAACAGTAACCGTGTTTCGAGTTACGGGGTCAGTGGGTCACTTTTTATCTTATTTCTTATTTCTCGCTAATCTGTTACTTAGTTTATAGCTGTACAACCGAGGAGAACTACTCGCTTTCGTTCTAGTTCGCTTTTCTTCTTCTTCTTTCACTTTCCTTATTTACAGGTTATTTATTAATACTCTCAGGTAGACAGAGCTGCATTATAAACTAAATGCTTCAGACATTCAGAAGTTTTACCTTGGAATCTGCTTTCCATGAAATCATTTTAAAAATTATCTAATACAAAGAAGTTTAAAAATTAACATTTATGTTACAGAGAAATGTAGAAAAAAATGAGTTACTTTCTGACATGATCAGGAAAATGTAACCTAAAATTTTAACACGAATATGATATTAATTTTACAAAGTCAAGTATTAAAATAGTCAAAATAACTAACATCAAATAATACAAATTAAGATTTTACAATTACAAATCACTCAAAATCTCCTACATTAATCTCATTGGTCGAATATCCCTTAAAAAGCATATAACACAGTTAATAAACAGTTCGCAGCTCTGTCTTCCATTTTAAGACCTTGCAGACCCATGGTGTCTAAACGCAATCACGGTCGATCAACTGTCGTGTTCGAGGGTTGTCGAAGTCGATAACCCCTCCACGGACACCTTCTTCTCTTTCCGACGAACAAAAGAAGACATTTTCACCAAGAATCACGACGTAGTAAGAGGCGAGGAGAGGACGGAACAGAAGAAGAAAGTATCGAGGTGATTGATTCATGAACACGGAAGGGGTTTCGAGTGAAACGCAAGAGAAAAGTGGTAGTCGTCATGGCGGGGTGATCACACTCAGGCAAAGAGAATCAATCGATGTGTGGGTTAGTCGTCGCGTGAATGAGGATTAAGTACCTGGAAATGATGCTCTTCATCTTGGTATCCGGTGCAACGCCGTCTATATCGGTATCCTCGGTTGCGCCTAACCGGGCCCTCAGTCGATCTACGCTACTCTGCAGCCTCTCGATTTCCACTTCGTACTGGAAACGAAGAGACGTGGCGTTGTTAGTTACAAGACACATACAGACAGAGGCAGGCGAACAGCCGTTCCGTTAGGCGATAGATCAGAAAGGACATATAGGAGACGGCTTCGTAGAAAGAGGAACTTGTTATTCACAACGATAATGTTATCACGGATTTATATACAGTCGGGGTTAGGGTAAAATTAAAAAAGTTCCTCTTTGGTTCGAGGACGTCTGGCTGGAGGAATCTTCTGATCGCTGCTGAAAATTTAGAATCGATGATCTTAGTTCGCTTGGTTTCGTTAATAACAAATTTCAAGATGAATAGTAAGTCAATCTTCTTTAACAAGGTCAAATCTGAATCAACGTAAACGTAATTCCGCAGCTTCATTCGTCATCGAGGAAACCAAGTAATCCATAGAACGCTATAGGTATCTGATGCGCTACCTGATCGATGCTTCGATGACTTCGAGATTTGCTCCTCCTGGTCGTGCAGCTCTCTTCTTCGCTGGTGTCAGACAGGTCCCGTGTCGAGTCTAACGACAATCTCCTCCTCAGCTTCGTACAGCATACGTTCTGATTCTGTTCCGAGTTATTTCTGTGCGTCTGATTGTTCTGCCTCCACTGATTATGATTGTTCCTCTGCAGGTTCCTCACGTTGTTCTGTGGCGGAGGTGACGGGCTCAGATCGACGCCTCTGACACCCTCAACGCCACCGCCGCTTCCCTCTCTCTCCTCTGAACTACTGCTGCCCCTCCTCCCGTTCCTCCCGTGGTTCGATTCCATGTGATAAACGGGATTCGCGAACGCGAGGGGCGCAGCGTTCAGTATGTGCGCGTTCGCGTTGTTGCTGCTGAGATCCACCGGGCTGGAGCTCTGGCTATAAGCGGCGAAACTTTGATAACCGGATGAGGCTACGTTACTTAGCTGAGAGATCGATATCTGCGATCCCTTTTGCGATTTAGACTCGGACACTTCGTCATCGGCGTACCTCAACAGGTCGGACAGCTCGTCCAGGTTACCGTTGGCCGTCGTGTTATTCGTCTTGCTGTTGTTGTAATTGTTGTTCGGCTGGTGATTGATCGACAGTGTCAGATTCGGCGACGGGTTCACCACCACGTTCGCGTTCACGGTGGTTTTCGAGACGTTGTTGTAGTTCTGATGCTGGGTCTGATTCGCGTTCTCCTCCTTGTTGCAGTGATTCCTGCTAGCCGATCTCGAGACGTTGTAGTTGTTGTGATTGTAATTGTCCTCCCTGTCGTGGATGTCCAGGTTCTGTAGCCGGGCAATGTTGTGTCTGTGGTTCTGTTGCTGTTGCTGCTGTTGACTCATAACGGGGCAGTTGTTCGACTGGTTGTTTTGAGGAACGGTGATGTTGTAGTTGGAGTCCTTTAAGTTATTGTGACTTTCCGATCTAGTTGGGCTGGTGGGATGTGTCTGGCAGTGATTCACGTTCGCCAGACTAGCGCTGGCGGTTAATCTGTACCCTGCGCCTGTCCTGTTGGATCCGATCGCCCTGTGCTGTCGCACTATCGGCGTGGGTGAACGTGACACGAAAGCTGGGGGCTCCAGAGGATAGTCGTCGGTGGTAATTTGTAGTTGGAGCTTCCCGTTAGTCGGCAAATAAGCGTTTCGAGGAAGAGTGGCAGCTCTGGCGACGTTGGGACTTCGGGAACTGTTGTGGCCCAGAGTATTCGATTGCAGTACCTCGTTACTGTCTCTGATGGTACCGTTCAGCGTGCTGTGATTGCTCAGAGTAGATGTTGCCGATACGGAGAGATTCGTGTTGCTGTTTGCGATCGTCGGATCGTTATAACGAAAAATGTTGTTCTGAAGGTTTGGATAACGATGCGAGGCTGATACTGGACTTGGACCCGATTGATCAAGGGCTATGGAGATCCTCTCCAGGATCTCCGGTAGTCGGGATGGAGGCAGTGATGGCGATGATGAAGAGATTGTGACTAAACTTTCGCGCAGAAGAGCGTGAAGAAGAGACAATTGCTTTCCCAGGTCTATGTAGCCGTCGAATTCCAGGGAATTGTTGGCTGGAGCATCCTTTGGCAGAGGGCTCTGTTAAAAATAAATTTGATCTTACAGATAAGTTCTCCACATAGGTTATAATAGAATAACAGGAGTACGTACACTGATCATCTGAAGGAAATTCTTCATGGACGGAGCTTCTCGCTCTAGGAAATCGTTCATAAATTCCATGAAGTTCTCTTTTCCTTGGAATCTCGTGAAGTTCGCGAGAGTTTGGAGCGTTTTCGCTACGAGAGTGAGATTCCTCGCTGCCTTTTCATTCGGATATTCTGCAAAGACACACAAATTCCAATAAAAAATTTGTCAATTAATCGATTGGTACACGGTAAACTTCATTTAGAAGCAACGACGCACGAAATATGAGAGCTGATAAAAGTCTGCCATTTCCGCAGCGCTCATCAAAACAGAGCTTATCTTATCTCCCGTGAAACATGCATAATACGGAGTTTATGTCAGTTGCTATAAATATTTGTTTACAAGTTTAATCATATTTGAATTGCATAAAAGATGTTTAATCTGTATAGATTCTTTATTATCTAAGATTCTAGCTATCTAATGGCAAAGGTTACTCATCTCCAAATGCTAGTTACGGTATCTTGATCTCATGAACGAAATAACGAGACGAAGACATCGAGCGTTTGACTTACCGTGTGTAATGTTGAAGAGAGAGGGGCTGAGTATGGCGGGACACAGGAATCTCAGGAATATAGACGCAGAGATCAGATTGTCAGCAATGTCCTCCCGGCCCATGTCAGCCAGTCGCTCGCGGAATATACGGAAGCACTCCCGTAATTCGAGAGGAAAGTGAGCGTGGCTAGATAGTATCCTGCTCCAGGCGAGCTCTACGGCGTTCCGTAGATTCTGCTGTTGTTTGTGAAGGGCCGCCACCGAGGCGACCTTCAGTGGGTCCACCTCGCAATCGCCACCTTCCACCGCACCCCTCACAACCGCCCCCAAGGTCTCCTGCAGGTACCTGTCTCCCGTCAACTTCAGGTAGGCCTCCATCGCCTTCGTGGCTAAGGAATTTCCTCGAAAGGTGAGCCTCTCGTCGTCTGAAATTCGATATCTTTCGTTAATATTCGACAGATCGGTTTCTTCAGTTTCGACTTTTTCGACTACCGTGCTTCGGGGTGAACGCCAATTTTATTTCTTCTGGGAGTGATACCTGATATGACTGGGAATGCTTATGGAAATTTTCTGTAATTTGACTTTCAGAATCTGATAAATCTGGACTTAATTGTTGCCATTTAAGGGATTATTAATTCTAACTATAGGACGTGTAGTCAAAGTGTTTACGTTGTACATGTAGGTATAATATAACATTTGTTCAAACAAGAAGGTTAGATCAGTTAGACCAATTAAGTAACTTAGAGGAAAATCACTTGCTTGCTCAAACGATGAATTCATCTTATAGTATTCTCTATAGTTCATTTTTGAATACATCAATTTATGTATTTCATAATTCATCACAAACACAAAAACTAATGTTTATATCAGAGAGCTAACAAAATGAAGAATAGAGTATGATTGTCTCTTCGAGATGAAGATACCAATACTTACCTATTCTATGGATGTCCATCATCACCAAGTCAGCAAGAAACTGTGGTGCCTTCTTCTCGCGTTGCATGACTGCCACCAAGGCCGTGGCGATGTCCTCCTTCGCTTTAACGCCGATCACCGGCTCCAATTTCTCGCAAAGAGACGCATAATCCGTCTTCAGGTACTCCAGAAACTCCTGGTACACCTGGACCGGAAGTATGTCTACGGATTGGAAGCGACATTTCACCCTGAGTGCCGGAGGTTCCTTCAGCGGACCTTTGTCGCCCACCACAGGGTACCATTTCTCGGTCAGGTAACGAGATGTGACGTTGTGCACGGGTATACTGACGGAACCTAATCAAAAATTCCAAACATCATTAATCCAAGTCTCACAGTAAAATGTACAATATTTATTATAGAAGTATAGAGGTATATAGAAGTAGACTCTATTTGAAGTAAACTATTTCAAGTAGGTTATTTGAAATATCAATTCGATTTGAACTTTCAACTCACCAATCAAAACATTCTTATCCCTCTTCTTCTTCCGATCAGCCTCTCTGTACAGGTTCACTTGAATAGTGTTGACAGAGGGCAGATGATGGAAGTCGAAGTGTTCACCCCAGAAGCAAAGGTCGGCCTTCAGCTTCGCGGTGGTTCGCGCGTACAACGTGCTGTCCAGACAAACCTCGCAGAAATATCGCTTCTTTGCCGGTACGCCTTTAGCCTCGAGCAGCCAAATCTGCAGAGAGTTGTCCGTTCGTCTTGTCTGCTCCGCGTCCGGTTGTACTGATTTCCTCAAGCTACGAATTTTAACAACATATTACAGCGGCTCTTCACACCATTGCGTCGTGTCATGATTTTCTTTAGGACACTTTATTTTGTTTTATTTTATATATGATAGACAATTCTGATAGCAGATGGTGTTTTAAGGAGACCTGTTATTATGAACTTGATATATTAGTATTCAAATTCATCCACATACTAATATCTGCACATACAGGTACATATACAAATACTTATAATACATGTGCATCCACATATGTATCTAAGTACTTGTACATCCACATATGTATTCAAAAACTTGTACATCCTCATTCATATACAAATACTTGAAAATTCACATACATATCCAAGTATATGTACATCCTCATTCATATACAAATACTTGAACAGTCACATACATGTTCAAGCATATGTACATCCACATTCATATACATATACTTGAACATCCACATTCTCGTTCACATACATGTACATCCACATTCATATCCAAATACTTGTACATCCACATACTCATCCACATACATGTACATCCGCATTCATATCAAAATACTCGTACATCCACATTCTCATCCACATACATGTACATCCACATTCTCATCCACATACATGTACGTCCACATACATATCCAAATACTCGTACACCTACATTTTCATCCACATACATGTACATCCACATGCATATCCAAATACCCATACATCCACATTCGCAACCAAATATTAATGCAACCACATCCACAGTCCTCGTTACGAAAAAACGATCCACAGCAACAATTTCAAACAGAAGATGATATACGTTGGTAAGCACATTCCAAAAGATCATCACCAAAAACAGTACCGTTCAGCAGGTAGCCGTTGTAAGGATGACTCGACACGTGGATCATTGAGCACGTTCGGATTCGTGAGTGGCACGACGCGGCGTAAGAAAAAGAAGCGAAAGAAGCAAGAGAGAAACGGTACCAACCTGTGTAACCACTGGTCCCGTTCGTGAGCGGTCCTGCAACTGAAATACTTGGGTCCACCGGTGCTGGGTGTCACCTGGAAGCAGTGAGGTCTACCGAGCAGGCTCGGATGCAGCGGTGTCACGGCTGCGAGGTCCATCGAGGTCACTGCCTGTCCACAGAGCAGGGACTCGTGTGAACGACAACCACGAAGTCCGGCACCGCGTTGTTTCTGTCGCTCGAGTTTCGTCACGCTTTTCGTCCTCTTCAGCGGATTCGAGCGGAAGGACCTCTTCGAGAAGAAGTTCTGGCAACAGAAAAGGATGGTGTTGTGATTAACATGTGATAAACATGTAATTAACTGCATAAACCGGTTGTAACTGTTTCTACCTAAATGGTTGTATAGATAGAAATGATCTTTCACATGATACGAGGTACTTTTTTCAAAATTGAGGTTAGACATGTGTTCCTCTAAATCTCTTAATAAGAATAGAAACATATGTGAATACTATGCATGCAATTATTTTTAATTTTTCTATAGAAATACTATAGATGCGTAGATGATTATATTTGGATAGACAGACTATTTCTAATGAGTATAATATGTGAAATATAATTTCAACACTGGAATATTAAATAAATTCAAATGGTCCATTACCTAACAAGAGGTTACGATATTTCAATTCTTATGAAACTTAACCATAAATGAAGGGGTGTCTTCTTACAAAAGAATGAATTGTAAATTTCTTTGTTATGAAATACACGTTGTGAACGCAGTCTTTTCAAGGTTCCACAACGAATTCTTCGATACGCCGCGATCGATAATAAATCAAAGTTGTGCGATTCCCTTGGAGCGCAAATACTAGTCTCATCAAATTAATTACGAGAAGATTAATCGACCAGCAATGATGCAATGAGACGTGTGACGTGACTGTAACTTGATGTACGATATAACTGTACGATCTGTTCTCCTCGATGATTAAACGTGTTTTGCTCGTAAAGTTAAGCGAGTCCCGACAATCGGCCTCGCGTGTTGTTGAAAGACAGGAAAGCACTTACCGATCAGAAGAACCGTTTTGTCGTCCTTCTGATCAACTTCTGTATATAGCAGTGAGAAACATTTAAAGAGTAATGGGTGAATTTATGGTGTGGTCAGACGGTGTTCGTTTGAACGAGTTGAAATTGTAATTATATAGTATGCGGAGCTCATTGATGGGGTTTCTAGGGAAAACGGTGGTGTTGGGGTAGGTTAGGTTGGATTTCTGGTAAATTTGAAAGCTTGGAAAGTTTAGGAGTGTGGAGGTTTGGGGATTTGTGGATTTGGGGATTTGGGAATATGGGGATTTGGGAATTTGGAAATTTGGGGATTTGGGGATTTGAGAGTTTAGGAATTTGGACATTTGGAGATTTAGGGATTTGGGGGTTTAGGAATTTGGACATTTGGGGATTTGGGAATTTGGAGATTTGGGGATTTGGGGATTTGGG